CTCGGCGAGAAATTCCTCCCAGCTGTCCTCGACCTCGACGAAAAGACGCCCGGAACTCCCGTGGACCTCCACGTCCAAAAGGTCGACTCCCCTCCACGCAGCTTCGACCACGCCGATGGAACCGTCTGTTACTGCCGTAACAAATTTAGCTGCACTGGTGCTGACGTTGGCAGCCGCCGTGATGATGCGCCCGCCCGCGGTGCCCACCTCCTCAGCCACATCCGTCAAGACGATCAGGCTGCGCGAGGTGTTCGGGAACAAGCACGCGGGGAAGGCGCTGAAGAAGAGGACCGCCAGCAGCACCCTGAAAAAGGCCGAGCCCGTCGGCAGCCGCTTCATCATGCCCATGATGAGGCCCTTCTTCTGGTTAGGCGATGCGGCAGCCCGGGCCCCCGGCGGGGCCTTGACCCGCGGTGGAGGCGCTGGGCTCGTCCAGGGCGGTACCGGCGGGATCTCGAACGGGCCCAGCGGCGGAGGCGTGTCCACCCTGCTGGTCATGGGCGTGCCCGGCGCTGGCGTAGCTGGCGTGCCCGGCAAGTTGGGGACAAAGCCCCAGCTGGCCGCCGAGCCCGGCGTGGGCGGCGTCCCCGCTGCCCCGCGGGGCCGTCCGCGGCCGCCGCGTCCTGCTGGTCTGGGCGTGCCCGGCGCTGGCAGCATCAAGGCCTGTGCGGACCTGGTCGAACCACCGGCGCGTGGCCCAGTCTAGGGCGGGCTGAAGTCCTGCCGCCCGCAGGGCCGTGCCGACCTGAGAGGCTTGAACCACATCAATGTAGATGCGCAGCGACGAGTCGACCCTCCACCTCCCTGTCTCCCGGATGGTCTCGAAGGGAACCCCGAGAGCGGCCGACTCCGACGCGAATCCAGCCCGGGGGCTGTGGGGGCCCCAGCCGACGTCCAGGGAGTACTGAGCCTGGACGGCCTTGATCAGGTTTCGGTAGGACGGAAGCGAGACTGGGAACAGCCGAGCACCTGCAGGGGTAGTGCGCCGTAGCAGCCGGAGGCCCTCCGCGAGGTGCCCCTCGTTCTCCTCCAGGAAGGACACGGACTGGTGCCTCTTGGCCTTAGTCATGGCCCGAATCCCAAGACCAACCACGACAGGCCCGCAGCCCCTAGGATAGCCCCAGTCCTCCGGGAGGGTGACGTCATCAGGCTCAATCCCCAACATCTCGCTAGGCCTCATCCCGAACTTGCCCTGAAGCACGATACCGAAACCCAGACGTGGATAACCTCTGGCACAAAAATGGACGCACATCCAGGCACATACGTTGCTAACCATCGGGACCGTGTGCCGAGGCTGGTGGGCGTAGTCCCAGCCCTTCAGGGCCGCTCTCACTCGACACAACCGCCCCTTCATACGCGGAAAACGGAACTCCACAGCGGCCACCAGCATGGAAAACTTAGACTTAGTCAAAACCCCCTTGCCGACCACCTCGGAGCCCCCGAACATCTTGAAATCCATCAGTGCGTCATCCCACTGATCGGGGGTGAATGGCTCCACCCCTTCCCGCGAACACCACATCAAAAAGGGAACTACCGCCTCCTTGTACTTCAAAACTGTATCGGCCGTGACCCGCCCCAGTTCTGGATGGTGTGGTCCGTCCTGGCCTGGTCCTGCAGCTCCTGATGCGCTCCCTCGAGTACCTCCTGCCATGTCTTACACCTGGAGACCCAGTCCGCCGGCATCCGCCAGGTCTCGACCCAGGGGAGGAGCAGCCTAATCTCGGCCGCCGCGCACAACGCGCATCGCCTGCGCAGGAGGAAGTTGAGGGGGCCCGCCGATGATCTCCCCTTGGCTGTTGCAAACGCAACGGGCATGTTGTCCTCAAAAGAGATCAGCGTACAGCGGCAGAAACCTTCGACCACCACGACCCTCTCAAGCATCAAGATCACTGCCCTCATCTCGCTGACCGTGATATGCTCCTCCCACTTCCACCTCCCCGCGGCGACCGGGACCCAGAACCTGGACAGCTCCCAGAAATCCTTCGGGATCGCGGAGACGGGCAGGGTGGGTACGAGAGCTCCGGAACCCTTCTGTAGAACTTTCCTCTCGTTGCCCATGCGCGTGAGGGCGAAACCCGGCTTGGTCCCGGCCTCCCAGAGCCTCTGAACGTCCCGGTCGGGGAGAGCGGTAGCAACCATGCCAAAGCCCCCACAGTCCAGGCCGTTCGAGCCCTCGGCATCCGTGGCCAGCACGATCCTGGAGATGGGGGCCCCGAGGTCCACGTAGAGCCCCATGAGTCCCCTTCGCATGGTTCTCCACTCCCTCAAGGCACTCGGCCACCACTTCCGAAACCTGAGACGCCCCGGGAGCCCCTCGTCCTGGTGAGCGAAGCGGAAGATGTGTTGGGGGGCAGACAACCAGTGACGAGCCAGTAGGGCAGCCCATACCCACAGTCCCAAGAGTGACGAGACGGCCTCCAGGGACACCCAAGCACGGTTCTCCAGGAAGAGCATGGCCTCATAGAGTACGGCAGCCTTACGGGCAGGTAGACGAAGCCGAGCGGGGGATCTCTGAACCTCGTAGCCAACAATGTTGTCCAGCTCCCAAGACTCCCTGCGGTCCGTGACCTTGAAACCTATGTTGACTAGCTCATCGGCGGCCCGATGCATGAAGAAGTCGGCGGCTCGCTCGGAGCCCACAAAGTCGGCCCCGTCGGACATCATCAAACCATCGTCTATGTGAAGGTAGAACCCTAGGTCGCCCTTAATCAAGGTGGTGTTCTGCATCCTAGCGCTCTTCTCGTTGAGTACGTGAAAGCCCCTCTCCCCCTCCTGACTGCTGGGCCTGGACCACTGAGACAGACGGGCGGCCAAGGGACGCTGAGGAACAACGGTACCTTTCTCACGCTCCTCTCGTAGCATGCGCACGAAACTCCGCACGACACACGACGCCAGAAACTTACTGAGGCCGGAGGGGTAGGCAGCCAAGGCGGTGGTGTAGACACCCTGTCTCCCGTTCTCCACCCTCATGCGTCCGATGCTCCTCTGATGCTGGTGATTTCCATCGCAACGACACTCACCCTCCAGCAGTCCGTCGGCGGTGCCGGACAGCGTGGTAGCCTTTCTCGCTGGCCCGCCGTACATGCACTGGTCAAGACTGACACGCACAGCCGAGGTGCGCTCCTCCATGGCGCACGTCAGCTCTGTACTATAAATCGAAGGATACGGTTCCTCTCCAGGATCCTCTGGGTGTTCATGTATATGGACTCCTCCCCTCGACGAGACCCCTTCGCAGAGCGCCAGGAAGTTGAGGGACAGGACATTGGACTCCTGGACTCGAGCCCTCTCGGGGCCCGTCAGCTCGGCCTCGGGCCGACCCCAAACGTACTTGCCTTGGAACCTGAGGGGCCTCGGGCCCCCCAGCAACTTGACGAACCGGGCCCTGGACCAGGTGGAGCAGGGCGGCCCTCCCAGGATCGCGTCGATGTACCCCAAAACGACCAGGCCCCAAAGCTTCTGGAAGGTCTCCGGCAGCGTGAGGTCCCAAAGAGGATCCTGGGCGAGGTCGCAGGACAGCACCAGCAGTTCCAGCCCGCGCTGGGCCGCAAGAACTCCCAGCCACTCCTCCACGTCCCCAGGCCTACGGGGACCCGCGAACAGATGCATGACGACGAAGACCTTAACACCCGACGACTTGACCTCTGTGACCTTCCGAACCCAAGACTCGACCGTGTAGCTCGTACCCGGGTTCGTGACCTGGTCATTCAAGTCCCTGGACTTCCTGAAATCCTGGTCGGCGGCCCAAACCTCGTCGCTCCTGCCCAAGAACTTTCCCCCTTCGTCAACGTCGAAATCCTCCTCCGAGACGCCCCGCCAAAGCCCACAACTTCGGATCAGAGTCCGCCCCACGCAAGTCATATTAATATTCATGAGAATGTGCACGCTGTGGGAGCCGCCCATGACGAGCCGCTTCCACATGGGGTAGATCCAGGTTCCCGGACAAACTCTGTCTCGAAGTTCCCAGGGGAGAGCATCCCAGACTAGACCGGCACGAAGTGGGGGTACCGCCTGCCAGGCCCACATCCACTCTGGAACCTCGACCGAAGTGAACGCATTGCTCTGGTCAAAAGCGGCGGCACACAACACGTCACTTGGCAAATGCACATTGGCGAGTGCTGTACCTCCGTGGAGCCCGTGCTCCTCACGAGAACGAACGTCCAAGTACATGTAGTTAGCAGCCACCATCATAATGATTGTCCTTTGTTTGGAGGCGTCTTTCTTGGGCACAACCGAAAAACCGGCCACTGCTTTGACTTCATCTCTAGTTCCAAATCTCCACAAATTTGGGGCCATATCCTTTCGAAGAAAATAACGAGCATACTCCACTTCGGATCCTCCCACAAACCCGTACTGCCTCTCAAGTTCTCGAAACAAAACTTGGCTCCGGCTATCCGGGGCTGCAACCACATTTTCTTCCTCAGCATAAAAAGCAGCCTCCTCAGCACTCAGGGCGGACAGCATAGGCACTCGACGAGGATCACAAGGCTCATCATTTGCATCAGCTCGTAATGCTTCATGTCCCGCCTTGCGGCGGACTCCTTGGTAGGTAAGCGTCGACTCCTTCACCAACTCTAGTACGGCACGGGCGCCTGTCGGGCAATCGTCCCGGCGCGCCTGGCGAATCCTCGCCGCCTCGCGTAGGGCCAGTCGATGGACTCGCTGGTGTAGAGGCCGTAACTTCGTCCGACGTTCCTCTTCACAACGGCCTCTGGTGAGCTCCTGGCAGGTGCCCTGGTACATGGCGTTTAGAGCAATGATATACTCATTCGCCAAAGCACGCAAGGCCATCTTCTTGCAATAGCGCTGGCGGATGCGGCTTGACATGCTCTCCGAGCGGCCCGGCTTCTCCACCATCGGGATCGGGTACAACTTGGCGCCTGAGGCGCCATCCAGCAGCCTTCGCAGCTCGTGGGACTCCTCCAGCATCGCCTTTGGGACCCAGCGGCTGCGCTCCTCACCTCGACTGGCAGCTGCATCACCAGCCGAGGTGCCGCCGCCTGTCACTCGGCGGGCCTGCCCCTCCCCGCGGGGGGCGGGCCCTTCGGCGGGGCCTTCGGGGGCTTGTCCTTGTCGCCCTTGCCCTGGCGCTTGGCCTGGGCGGCCACCCTCTCGGAGCGCTGGTGCTCGGCCTTGCTGTGCGCCGTCGCGGCCTGCACCAGCCAGCTCGGCGCCACGTCGGTCTGGCTGCCCGGAGGGGAAACCCCGAGCATGTGGAGCGCGCCAGTGCGGTCCCCTGAGCGGCTCTCGTACATATAGGCCGCCAGACGCCTGAGAGAGATCTCCATCAGGTCGTTCGTCCCCAGGAACCTCATCAACGCCTCCTCCGTGCCGCAGTCCTTCACTGCAAAGTCCACTGTGGTCGCCATCGTCCACAAATCGGTCCAGACTGGCGAGGACCTGCTTCCGCTATACCGGGAAGAGAGCCAGTCCCTGACGGAAGTGCAGCCTTCCGCCCTCATCGATCGGTAGATCTCCGCCCCGGCCCGCTGCAGGTCCGGGGGGAGCGAGGCTCCCCACCTGGTCTCCTGGCTACCGCCAGCCGCCGACGTGAGGCTCCCCAAAGCCAAAGGGTCGCCTGCTGTGCCTCCCAGCGCCGGTGGCGCGGCCTGGTCAAGGGCGTCCAGGCCGCGCGCGGTCACCGTCCCGTTGCCCACGTAGCCGTGGCCCCTCAGGAGCCTGACCACCGGCTCGCTCACTTCGCCCTGCAGCTCCATCTTGGCGACGTGGCTCCAGAACTTGAAGGCCCAGTAGGGATCGACCGAGCTGGTGCCCCCGAACGTCATGAGGGCCGTCTTCACGCCTGCCGCTCCTCGTACGGGCTGCGCGCCCGCTGCTCCTGGATGGTGCAGGCCAGGAGGGGGTCCGCGGGAGCCGAGGGCAGGGGCAGACCTGCCCAGCCCGCGAGGTCGCCCAGAGCGGAGGCCCCGGCAGGCGCATAGGTAGGCGCCGCCGCCCCAGCTCCGGGGCTCGGGGCAGCGCCAGCAGCCGCTGCACCAGGGATGCCGAAGGGCGGGGGCTGGTCCGCGTCCCCCGCGACCCCTCCTCCGTCGGCGAGGTCGGCTTCGTCAGCAGCAACTGGAGCTGCGCCACCGGCCGCCATGGTGGCCCTCAGCAATGCCAGCTCCTCGCGGAGCCGCACCACCTCTGCGCTCTCCGTGGCAGGGGTCTCGCGGCGGGGGCACTTCACGCTCGTGAGGCAGGCCACGGCGGCAGCCCCACTCGTCAGGCCCAGCAACGCCCAGAGCAGGACGTTGCGCCAGGTGTCGGCGTAGCGGGCCATGGCCAGCATCGCCGCGCTCAGGACACTGAGGGTGGCGAAGGCCCGCAGGCGGCAAGCCCAGGAGCACCACCGGCTGCTCTCCTCAGGCGCGCCCGTCGACATGGCGCGCGAGCCCGAAAGAGTAGGTGTAGTAGAACGTAACCCCGCGCTATGCGTGCTTGAGCCCATATGCGACGGCATACGAGCTCGTGGCGTGGTCTTCATCCTGAGCTCTCCCGAGGCCCGTCGGGCGAACACTATATCACACCCACCCAAACGCCCAACGTGCAAACCGAAAACTACCATTCAAAATCTCATTAACTCAAAACCTATCAAAAACCTAAGGAAAAGCAATGAATTTGCCTCCTGGGGCCCTCTTGGGAGTGCTTTTGGAGGCCTCTTGGGGCGTCTGCATGGGGGCTATCTTTGGCGTCTTGGAGCGATCTTGTGGCATGTCGGACCCCTCGTGTACCATCTTGGGGGCCTCTTGGGGGCCTCTTGGCCTTTCTTGGGGCTCTCGGGGACGTCTCGGAGCCCTGTTGGTGCGCTCATGGAGCGCTCTGGTGGAGTCGCCCGGGGATCAGCCGGGACCCGCCCGGGGTACTTTTCGTCCGGGGACCCCCAGGGGCCGCCCCGCGCGCGCGAACTAGAGAATTGTTAACCAGTTACCGGAGATCTTAGCACGCCTCTGGCCCGTTGGGCCGGCGAATTGTCGGGGCTGCTCTTGCCGAAGCTCGTCATGAACTTCTTGCCGCTGTTCGAGCTCGAGCCTGAGCCTCTGCCGCCGCCCTTGCCATCAAACTTGCGGTCCTTCCGAAGCTCCTTCACGCGCTTCTTGCTCTCACGCACCGTGATGAGGCCCTCCATCATCGATTCCACGCCGCTCACTCTGGGTCGTTCTCGGCCTCTTCGATCACCGTCGAGAGCGCCTCCAGCTCCGCGGCGAGGATGCCCTCGATGTCGTGGTCGTTCAGGCCAGTCTTTTCGATCAGCCACCAGCCCGCCGCTCTCGCCTGCAAGGCCACGTCTTCCTCGTCCAACTGGCTGCGAGCTTCACCGAACCTGATAATCCACGAGTTCCGATCCTCGCCGGCTCTGCGATGCAACTGCTCATTGAAGTAATTCATCACCTGGCCCCTGCGCGTCGCCTCGTCCACGCCCATCGTCGCAAGCACCTCCATCAAGCGGTTGATGCCTGCCATCAGGTCGGGCTCCTCCCAGTGGCCGCGCTCCTCTTCGTCGTGATCCCCGCTCTCGGCTGCCTCGGCAGCCGCTTCCGTACTAACCTCCTCGGGGATCCACGTCCATTGCTTGGGCCGCACCTCCACCATCGGGATGGACTCGCCAAGCGTCTTTGCCGGGCCCGTCAGGCAACGCACCATCCGGGCTGCCCAGCTCCAACTCACGTCCATGTTGATGCCTTCGATCCACAGCGCCACGTCCTCCTTGTATCTCCTCCAGCGCGAAGGGCTGCCGTCCCAGCTGGGTATGCCCCCCAGGTCGCGGCTGGTCCACGCTGGCGCTGCGATCCAACTCGTCGAGGAGCGCGAAGTCCACGCAGCCCCTCTGTCTCCGCTCGGCCGCAGAGGAAGCGCATCTGGCGAGAGCGTGCCGCCGCCCATCGCCGGGTAGCGCTCTGGAGCTAATACCGGCCGCATCGCTCCCATCGTCGCATTCCGTGTACACGTCCAGGTAGTTCTCGATATCCAGCACGCACTCCGCACTGAAACTCACCACGTCGATCTTGATCTCGCCCTCGGCCGATGGCGCCCGCGCGGCGGCGGGCTCCGCTACCACTGCGGAACCGGGTTGGGCCCCCTCTAGACCTCCCGATCCCGCAGCGGGGGTCGGCGGCGGAGCTCGCAGGGTTCGAGGAGAGAGCGAGCCCCCTTTTCCAGTCCTGCTCCCAGGAACCAGCTCGCCTCAAGCCGGCTCGAACCGAGCCGGCAGCAGTGAGAGCGAGAGAAGAGAGAGAGAGAGGGAGGGGAAAAAGATTACATAAGGGGCTTAAGTGCAGAGCAGGGGGCATATCCAATCCGAGGGGCATGTTTTTCCACAGATAATGCTGTCTGCATACCATTGAGCGGGGTTCTTGACCCGCTGGCGTCACTGCTGTTATCGCTTCCCCCCCCCCGACCTTGCATCATCATTGTAGCCATTGCCAGAGCTGCGAAAAGTTCGCATTACATCATCTCCACGAAAGGAGATTGGCAGTAGAACGTCAAAGTCATCTGGAATACCACAATCGAACACGGGGGGGATCAGGGTAGACGCCGAATGTTGCACTCAGGCGAGAGAAGCTCAAATCGTAGGAATTCACCAACATGTGCACACCATCCTCATATTCCTCTTTCTCCCAATCAGCATTTCACCGCCATCCATCATTGGCATCGCACGGGGGGAGTTACGATGGGCCCCACGATGGGGATCGAGTCTCATGATCTAAGCGAGGGTTCGGAGTTCTGTTCTCGACGAGTGTGTAATCGAACATTTGGGGTAATCACAGGCCCCTCTAGGGCTCCTCGGGGCCTCATTGAAGTCTCCTCGTGCCCGAGAGCTAACTTGGGCTTGAACTGATAATCGCCATGGCTCCACTTGATGTCCTTTGGGGGCTCTGTGGGGGCCCTCTTGACCAGCAAGGGTTCTCTTAGGACACATTTGCGCAGGTCTGGAGGCTTCCGAGTCACCTTTGGGGACGAACAGCCGAAAATGGAAACACACACACACACTGAGTACACCTATAGTTCAAGGTCTTTAGCCTCCGGGCGACATCCCTGAGAGACTCTTGGGCCATTCTGGAACCGCACATCGGTTAATCAGATTGGCCAGCTCAGGCAATCCCTGGCCTTCCATCTCGGTTACAATATTTTGCAACATCGAGGTAATGCTATGAGTTGTTTTGGACATCACGATCTAAGTCAGAGTGAGGGGGCCGAACGGTCATTCACTGTCCCTGGGTGCGTGGCTGATGTGGAATTCCGCGGTGCGGATTCTTGTTGTTGCTGTTGTTGTTTGTTGTTGTTGTTGTTTGTTGTCGTCGTCCCACCCGCAACCCGCTCCGCGACCCACCCGCGACCCACCCCGCGACCCACCCCGCGATCCACCCGCGACCCACCCGCGACCCACCCGCGACCCACCCCGCGACCCACCCCGCGACCCACCCCGCGACCCACCCCGCGACCCAACCCGCGACCCACCCCGCGACCCCCCCGCGGCCCACCCCGCGACCCACCCGCGACCCACCCGCGACCCACCCGCGACCCACCCGCGACCCACCCGCGACCTACCCCGCGACCCACCCGCGACCCACCTTCGACCCAAACCACGTTCAAGGTACAAACCACAATTTTCGGCGCCTGCGGCGGGCTTTTTTGCATTCCTTCCAAGTGGAGAGCCCGCGACACATCCCGTGACCAACTCGCGACCAACCCGCGACCCAAACCACGTTCAGGGTACAAACCACATTTTTCGGCGCCTGCGGCGGGCATATTTTGCATTCGTTTCAGGTGGAGAGCCCGCGGCCCACCCGCGACCACGTTCAGGGTACAAACCACATTTTCGGCGCCTGCGGCGGGCATCCTTTGCATTCGTTCCCTGTGGAGAACCCGCGGCCCACCCGCGACCCAAACCTCGTTCCGTGTACGAACCAATTTTTTGGCGCTTGCGGCGGGCTGCTTTTGCATTCCTTCCAGGTGGAGGTGGAGAGCCCGCGACCCACCCGCGACCTAAACCACGTTCACTGAACAAACCAATGCCGCACAAGCGCGGCGGCGGATTCTTGCATGCCGTCTGAGCCCGCAAGGACCTCTTCACGCCCCGCACATCCACGCCAGCCCGTCCAGCAACTTTGCCCTGGCGAGTTGCCTTGATCAGAGAAGGCGGGGAGCATAAAGTGGAAAAAAAGGATTGCGTTGCAGTTATCTTGGGAAAGGAGGGGGAGGCAGGATGAGTAAACAGGGGACGAGGAGAACGAGGAAGAAGAGAGGATGTAAGGAGAACGTGGAGAGAGAAAAGGAGGAGGAGCAGGAGGACGAGGGGGAGGAGGGGGAGGAGGGGGAGAAGGAGGACGAGGAGGGGGAGGAGGGGGGATGATGATGATGATGATGATGGACGACAATGGGAGGACGATGATGGAGGCCGATGAGGGGGAGGACGACAATGGGAGGACCATGATGAAAAGACGAGGGGGGGAGAGGGAGGACGAGGAAGAGAGGAGGAGGAGGAGGACGAGGTGGAGGAGGAGGATGACGATGACGATGAGGACGAGGAAGAGGAGGAGGAGGAGGAGGAGGAGGAGAGGAGGAGGAGGAGGAGGTGGAGGAGAGCGCCATCGACAAGGAAGGTGGGGGCCACGAGGTCCGCCGGCTCGACGACGCCCGCGTCGCCCGCGCCCGCCCCCTCACTCTTATCCGCAATTGCGGGGTGCTACGTATTACTTCGTGCAGGGCCCAAGGGCCTCCCCGTTGGATCTGCGTGGATGGACGCGCGGGGCTCGTCCCCGCATGCTGGCCGACGAGCCAGTCGACTAGCAGGTCAGCACCTGCTGTCCAACGACTGCAACTCATGCTGCTTTGGGGGGAGGCGTGGACTCGACCGAAACGGTGGTACCCCATCCGCAACCGTGGTCGAGCAGGAGCGTGTGTTTGGGGTGGGGGCAGACATCTGTTGTTAGTCTTGCTTGCACTTCCGCGTTCTTCCTCCTCCCCAATGCCCCGGGGAAGGGTAGGAGAAGGCTGAGCAGCAGGAGCCCCGCATGGGTAACGATGGCCATACGGATTCCTCATCTCAGGTCTCCCCCCCTCGGCACCACCCAGGGATCCATTCTGAGCCCCGTCTGAGCCCGTTTGGCCGCCGAGTGGGCGGCCAAGCGGGCTCAGCTCCAAGATGCGTGCGCGGATTTTGCCTATTCGGTGTTCGAAGGCGGCCTAGTCGGCCCAGACCTTGAAGGGGCCCAGAGGCGAACCTTGGGGTACGGCAGCTTAGCGCCGCGTTGACGCGGCGGCGACTCCAACGGCGGGTGTTCAAGATTGAACGACGCGAGTGGCTTTGAACCGACCAATATCCAACGACCTGCTCTTTCAGAAAGCCGCGATTGTTTAAGCTTGGATGCTCTACGTTGTTCC